GGAATGACTCCTGAAAAACCCAGACTAGTAGGACAGATATTACGCTGTCTCTGAAAAAAGAGAAAACAAGACAGAGAAACAGCTATTTTTAAAATATTATTTCCTCAAGGTCCTTCTTTTCAGTCTTTCAGCTGCTGAAATTCCTGTTTTGCAGGCAGACCCATCTGCCCGCGAGTGACGGTGGTGCGGCTGAAAAGAAGTGCTGAATCCAGCAGCAGTGCTGATCGAGGGCAAGGCCGTGCAACTCCTTCAAATAACCACAGCTGTGGTTCTCTGGTGCCCACTCTACACTAGGTTTGATATCAAGTCACCTCCAGAACATATGAAATTCACGCAAAAAAACCCCATCTTTTTAGCTCCCTTCTTTTGCAGGCATTATTATTTCAACAGACAGAATGTAATTAGCAAAAGTGCTTCTTGCATTTGTAGGAAACATAATAGTTCCAGTTCCTTAGACAAAAAAAAATTAAGAAAAAAACCTAGCTGGCCAAAGAGGAATTGTCTGTTAAAAGCACAGACATTAATTAAACTCATTTTTGATTTGCAGCTGAGTAAATCCTAAAGAATAAATCTTCAGGACAAAAGCTCTCAGTACGAAAATCATTGTAACACCTGTGAGATCTCACAATACCATTATGCCTTTATGAAGTTAATATACAAACTAAAAGACTTAACTTCAGCAGTGAAAAAGCTCACACTATTTTTTCCAGCTATCTCCAGATGGCGATGAATCTTCCAAGCCACCACGAATAAAAACTCACACACAAGTGCCAGGAACTGAGAGGACCCTGAACTAATCCTCCACAGGTGAGGTTATTAGAAAAAAAAAACAAGCTGAGGCACGCATGTGCAAAGCTAGTTGTGTTACTCTGATTATTTCAGAGATTTCTCCTGAGAAGACATTGAAAGCGGATCCACAAATGTGCGCCCCGGTAATGTTTACACATCCTCCCATTTGCACAGGGGTCAATTCAAACCCCATTAAACTGAACACCATACTTGTATTCTGTTTAACCCCAACATCTCTCCGACCCTCGCTGACAAATGAGGCTGCATCAGCACACAAACGGACCCCCAAAGCCCTCCTACTTCTCCAGATCTGTTAAAAATTACATCCCCTGGGCTGGCCCCAGCTCCAGTAGAGTTAACGCATTTAGCACAGCCTCCTCTGTGGCACAATGTTTGCGCTGTAATATTTCAGCGAGAGACTGCCATTGTAAATTGAAAGTGTAAATCTCGGCGTAGAGCGCACAAGGCTGCAGGAGAGGGAGAGCAGCCCTCTCCCGCCTCGCCGGGTGCCAGCAGCCCCCCCAGACACCAGCCCAGGGAACACCGGGTTGTCACAGCCCCCCGGGCTCCGGCCCGCAAACCTGCCTGCACGCACCAACATCTGCCCCATGCAGCTGGCGCCAGGAAGGATGAAGCGCCGGCACACACTGGCCTTGCATTTTCTATGCTCTGGAAAGCTCTCGGCGAGACCCTCTGCCGCAGGAGGGACCCCACAGGAGCTCGTCAGGGCGGGGTGCGTGAGGCTGAGCCGGCCCAGGGGTACCCCATGTGCGGGAAACACGAAGCACACGTGTCGGAGCACCACAGCTGAACCCGGACGAAACCACAGCTCTGTGCCACCACAAATTTGCTCTTGTGCAGGCAAAACACCACAGGGGTTGGTTGGTTTGTTTTACAAAGGAGCAATCAGGAGCCAGAGTGCAGAGCTGACCTGTGCCAAGCTCCTCCAGCGCCATCCCAACAGGAGCAGCCGCGCTCCTCAGAGCCCGCACCCCACCCCAGCACTGGCCCTGCTGGGGGAGATGCGGTGCCAGCAGCCCCAGTCGCGCCTGGCCTCCTCACCCCGCATCAGGCACCGTAAACATAGAGAGTTAGCACTGGTGAGAAATGATCAAAGCAGGGAAAATAACGGAGACACAATTTTGGAGTAATAGAGTAATTTATCTTGCATTTGTAAACCAGCAGGAAAATCCTTTAGCGTGCTAGCGGAGCCGTTATTATTATTATTAATCCTTTGCACTATGTCTTCCATGTGGTAGAAGGCTGGGGATACTTTGAAGCTATGTGCGCTATTTGGCGTTTACTTAAAAAAATGAAGAGATTAAATGTCAGAGAAGAGATGATCAAAACACACTGTACCTCCAAACAGAAGGCTGAGGCGAAAGACCATGTGTGTGCCTGTGCATGTAAAACCCACTGACACCACCACGGCAGCGGCTTCATGTTTAGGACTTTTTCTCCTCCCATGCTATAAGAATTTGCATGGCAGATGAGGTTATCTGCGCACAAAGAAATCTGAAGAGTTGATTTTAATCAGTCGCATAATCAAAGCCTCACTATTGCAAAATAATATGATTAAACACTCCATTATTTCAAACGCCACTGAACTAAGCGGATCCTTGGAAGGGAGTACTTTTGTGCACTAATCCATGCATGTAATCATCGATATGCTTTCCCATACCCTATTCAAATACTCTCCCCTGAGGCTTTTCTTTCACTTACACTAGTGGAAAAAAAAGCCAATCAGTTCGGTTTAAAGAACAAGTTGTATAACTCTTTTTGATCTACTGCCTGAAGGATCAAATAAGGAATGCCACCAACCATAACGTCAGCAGCAAACGATAGGGCTTTGCTTGTCACGGTGGCCACCACCACGGGCAGGCAGTGCGGCGGGCCACGGCATGCGCCCTGTGCTGGTACGCGCTGTGACCGGAGACGCTGCCAGAGCACCTGGGCTAATAAACGCTTGGGTCTGGGTGGTTTATTAGACTGCAGGAAAAAGGGTGCCCACAGATGGTTTAATACAAGGATGCATGCCTTTAATGAAACTTAAGCCTGTAAAAATTAAAAGCAATTAAAGAATAAGCAATTTGCTCTGTAAGATATTAGAAAGATGCAAACCAATGCCTGCACTGGGTTTTCGGTACATGTATCAACTTGCCGGTGCTGAGAACAGCAACAGGCTGGCAACAGCACTGCCATGTTTAAAGAGATTTGTTGCTACAAGCCTTCTTCTAGAGCAAACCATCTAGAAGACAAAAATCACCAAATGCAGTCAAGACCACCAAAGACTGCGTATTTAAAACAAAGTGAGGTTCCAGCACAAGCGCATCCTCCGTGCTCACAGCCAGGAGCTCCACAGCTGCAGCTGGGAAAGGGCAAGGTGATGGGCACAGATGAGCATGGCTAAAGCCAGCATCACTCCCCGCTCAACGCAGTTGAAATTAGACTATCTGGAACAAAGCAGATAGTCTATTAAAATCACCAGAAAATGGCAAATACAATCATCAACCAGAGTATTGTGGTTGTTGCTAGCAGACAGGCAGCACCTCTCCAAAGAACTGGGGGACATGGTTCTTGAAACTAATGTATTTACTAGCAGTCAATAAGATCACAGAATGACATTTTTCTTCTGCTTCAAGTTAAAAATAGAAAGAAAATTTCAAACATTTAGAAGCTAATGTTATTCACTTTAATCTTTAAGAATATAACACCATCTGTTGCCGTCAGATTTACAGTACAGATCTCAGATATGTACATTTATTTGTTGGTATAAAAAGCTGTCAGCAACCTCAGCACAAGAGTGAAGATTCTCTGGTGAATGAAGAATCTCCTGAGCTTCAGAGAGAAAAGCTACTAAATCTGAAAAAACTAGACAACAGGTTATTCATGAGAAACGCGCTATCTACAAAACAAAAAAGCCACTACTCTCCTTGCCGCAAAAAAAACCCTTACCAGTTAAACCACAAAACTAAACTCCTACAACTTGCTAACACCACAGACTGCGCATATTTGCAGGCAATATTGGGAGAAACTTATCCCAGAAGTTTCTGAACCTCAACAGCCACCTATTCCTGATCCCTGCAGTCCTGTTCCCTCAGCACTTCTGATTTCTGCACACCAATGCCTCCAATTTTGTGGGTTATGCAAGGTACAGGTTATAGTGGGCTATGGGAGGATTTCATTTCAAATATCAGCATTTTTCACGCAATGCAGGTTCCATAACTACAGGCTATAATGCAAATATGTGAAAAAAATTACATTCTCAAGTCAGCAGAGTCTCAAAAATTACTGTGGGATGGCTGAAAATGTGTAGAATAAACAAAACATAGCACACGTTCTTATTATAAACTTATTATGCAAGATGAGTCCAGGCAATATGTAAAACCAAATAAAAAGTTGAAGTTATTTTCTGAATATGCGTTAGCCACTATAAATCTAACCTAAGTTTTAAGCAGGTAACTGTACTGAGCAGCGGGGCTAGGACACCTATCAGGGGCTAGATTTGCAGGAACGGTCAAAAGTCAGACCCCTTACAGTGTCAGATCATTAGTAATTTTAAAAGAAAAAGGCCTTGACCTTTTTTAAAAAAATTATTTACTCTCCTGGAAAGCAATCTTCTCACTTTTCTGAAGTCAAACAAGAAAGCTTGGAAAAATAAAATATTACCTGTATGATACTAATGATCACATTTCTCATGTTTCTAACATTTAGCTTTCTGTGCCTTGGAAGTTAATACAACAGGAGAGGATTTAATAATAATTTTTTCCTCTGTGACATACTCTGTCCTGCTGCTGTGTCTTGATTGAAAGACTGCAAGTAAATCTGACTTTGCCTTATGAAATTAAGGTCTCCTAGACATAAAAATCCAATCAGAGCTACAAAAATTAAGGTTAAACATTTCCGCAGTCTCATTTACACCAATATAGAGGTGGTTGGTTTTTTTCTTTCTGTCAAGGTTGCAGGACGGCCGGATTACGAGATTTTTGCCATCTCATTTATATATTGATTGTAATAAGGCCAGACAGGTAGGCCCATACAAGTGCTGATTCTGTCAGCAGCCAAAGTTGCCAGGACTGTGAACACTGTCACTTATAGATTGATAAATGGACTACACGGTCTAATTGTATTGCAGGATCTCTGGACAGATGGCAAATCTTACAGCCATATGGTGATTATTTCCACTGCGCTTAAAGTATATTAACACTTACCAAAATGTTTAAAGTGATGCGATAATCTAAAATAATTTTTCCATGAACTGGGTTAAAAAAAAACCCGATGGGCTCGGATGGGACGGCACACTGGGGCTGGGCTCTCTCCCAGGATTCCCATTCCGTGCCGGCTCGAGGGCCTGCGGGTATCACACAGTTATTGATGAAACCAGCTGTGTACTGGGTCCTCAGCTGGAGCACAGCGCCGTTGTGACAGCCAGGGGATAGCATCCCTCATTTTAGCTATTCTGCACTGCCCTTATTTAGTTGCTACTATTTGCAGCTTGATATGCCGGCTGCCCTGTGCGTTGGCAGCACCGATACACACACTTTCTTTTCCTGGTATTTTTTTCTAAATCCTTCTGTGCTCTCTGGTTGAAAACACATTGAAGTTATTGTCCTGCTTCTAAAGGTAGCCACATACCCAGCCCACGCCCATGCAAAAGCAGTAGAGGACTTTCCAAAGCACGGACAGCAGGGTCTCTGGAGTAGGCCTACACAAGCACTATATGCGTTTAGCTGTACCCACGTCTGCTCCCAACAGAGGAATCAGCTGGGAGAGGGCAGAACTGTGCCCCAACATTCCTGTGAAACAAAACAAACCGGCTGGATGGCGACCAGAGGCTCACCCTGCTCGCTGCCGACTCGATAAGCCATTGCTAAGTTCTGCAGTGCTACTTCAGCACGAAGCCAGTAGCTCATCGCATTTACCGAATGCAAACAAAGCACTCTACAGATAATACGCCAGGCTGATGCACATCCCAGATGACACAACCCGCTTATGGCTGCGCCCTTTACTAATACTTCTGTTGCGCGGCTTTGAACCTTTTATGAGATTTATGCAGCACTGAACTCACCCTTCAAAACAACGGGAGAGCACATGCAGGAGACCTGATACTCTTCTGCTCTAAGTTACTGCCGATTTCTACCAAACAAATGTGAGCAACATCAGCTCGTAAATTCTAGACAGATATCTATGCTAGAACAACTACCAATATTACACAACATAAATTACTTCTTGCTTCTTTTTCAGAACAAAATTTTGAACATTTATTTGTTTTAAAATAGGATTAAAAATTATGTCTTGTATTCCACAGTAATTCGTTTCGAGTGCACTCTCAGGGTGGGAGATCCCTTGCCAGCGGAAGCAGATGCCTCCCTTGCTGGGGGAGAAAAACGTTTATTCAACAGTTTCCCCTATTTGCCATAAGGAAATTATAGCAAGTCAAGAGCTAGAAACTGTACTCGTCGTAGTCCCTGTGATCTAAAATTAGTGCCTGGTGTTAGTATGCAGAATGGATCAAGTACTCACTCAGCCACTGAGGATAAGGTGCCAATGGGTGAGAAATTCTTACTATGGTTTTTGCACATTCACACTTCAGCACCCTAAGAATGAAATCGATTTGACTTGTAAGGCTTCTATTACAGATCTCTCTAAACACAGTTTTCTTTCAGGAAGCTGTACTACCCTGAAAGCCAGCAAAAGAGCTTTTCAGTTGCACATTTCTCCCTAGACAAGCTAGACCAGCCCCATGTTTCTCCATGTGCCTCCCCAGCCAACGCTTTGACCCAGGCTCGGAGCTGCTGCCACCCCAGGCACCGGCCAGGCTGCCCTTGCCACAGCGAGCCGTGGCAGCTCCAACATCACCGCAGTGGAAGGAGGAGTCCCAAAAGGACACAGAAAAAGAAAAGAAAGGGAGGAAAAGTAACTTAGATCCAAGGTGCAGAGTTTGGCCTCCCCTGTTTAACTCATGGAAGTCAGCTGCTCGTTTAAGGAATAACAGGCAGCACAGAACCATCCCAAACTGTTCCCAGCGGTCATGTGTCTATTTTCTACCCAATAATTCAGAGGTCACCCCATAAAGCAGATGACAAGCATAAACTCTTTCCAGTACAACCTCATATCACTTACGCTAATTTAACAGTTATTGGGAAGTGCGCTGCAAATCAGTGCAATGTTACTTTGATATTGCATGGCAGAAGCCTTTATCCAGCTGCACAATATTGCTCCATCTCCTAAGACAAGGATGCCAATTCATAAGGCAGGGAGGAAAGACCAAGTAGGGAATGCAAAGTGGATCAGATATTTTGATTCCGTTCCAAATTCTAAGCTTAAAATATAAAAAATTTGGCAACTTCTTCCCCACAGAATTTGAAATGCTAATTTCTAACTCAATGGAGAGAAGATCTTGCAAAGATCTTGCAAAGACACCTATGCAGGATTACTGCTCCAAGACTGAAAAATTCAGAACAGACCTTCTCTGCAGAGGGAAAAGCAGGTAACCACAACCACAGGAGCGGTGTTTACCCCAGGCTCCATAAGGACCTCGGCCCAGCTGAAGAAGGAAGCCCTCCCCACCGCCCCTTGAAAACCACAGGCTTTGCAGAGAAGTCTGGGGAGGCAAAGCAAGGTGAGAGAGATTGCTGGGAGCATCAGGCTGCATACGACCATCCTTGAAAGCCGATGCATCTTCCATAATGCGCAATTTTGAAGGTCTCAGAAAATAGATGCCTAGAACTTTCTGTCCAGGGAACATCTTTGAGGATCACATGGAAACTTTAAAGACATTATTTGTCCTTCGGATTTCTCAAAAGACAAAGTGGAATTTCCCGTTATGCACAAACACCCATTCCCATGCTCCAAAGCACAGAGGAAGGTGGAAAAGGCACAGAAGGGAAAGGAAAGCTCCCCAAGGATGCACAGACTCACGCACACTTCTGGATCTGCCTGGGAGGAGGCCAGTGGCCTCCCTGTCCACCCCATATAACTCCCAAACCAACAGCTCCCTTTCTGGAACATGGAATCTGACCCTTTCTCCACAGCTATTGAGTTTCATTGTAACTGGGATCAGACACTCAAGCTTTTAATTCAATTTCCTTGAATTTGGGTGGGTGTAGTGAAGTGACAAATCCCTCTTCTCAGTCAAGCCAATTTCTGTTCATCTTGAAAAGGACCATAAACCAAATTAGACTCCCTTTTATGTATTAGCATTTTTAGAAGATACCTTAAATACGAGCTTATAAAGACCACCTCTATAAACAACAGGCAACAGAAAATTAGCTATCTCCTGCAATGGACTACATAAGTAACAAACAGCTGTCAAACAGAAAATAAAATAATCATGAAAAGGGAGAGCTCTCATTCACCCACACGTGCCGTAAAGTTTCAGGCAACTAAATCTCCTTTTTTGTTTCATAAAAGAATAAATTTCTCCCTACCCCAGCTAGAGGAGAGGGGATTATTATGACAATCATTGGATTATACATGTACACAAATAGAGTCCAAAGACGCTTTTATCTCCTCTTTGTATAGCTAAGGGCAACGGTTGTGTCCTTGGGTGTATGTTGTGCCGTGAGCACGTCGGCACTGCCCTGTCTGGGCAGAAACCTCCTGGCAGGTCTGGGAGGAGTATTTCAGCTTTGGGGCTACCAAGGGTTTGGACTGTCTGAAGGTGTAAGAGGTGGGGGGCTTTACCTGGAGGGGCAATGCATAGGTACATCCTGGTTAGAGACCATAGAATGAATCAGGCAATGGTTTGGGTAGGAAGGGACCTTCAACGGTCATCTAGCCCAACCCCCCTGCAACAAGCAGGGACATGTTCAACTAGCGCAGGCTGCTCAGAGCCCCGTCCAACCTGGCCTTGAATGTTTTCAGGAATGGCGCATCCACCACCTCCCTGGGAAACCTGTGCCAGTGTTTCACCACCCTCCTCTTAAAAAATTTCTTCCTTCTCTCTAATCTAAATCTACTGCCTCTTTTAGTTTAAAACCATTGCCCCTTGTCCTATTGCAAGGGGCGATGTCAAGGCAGAGACAGGGGACAGCTATGCTGCTGCTATCTTTGCACTAGCACCTGAACTACCTACTGGAACAGAGCTCCTGCCTCGTCTTTACCCATCACCCTCTCCGAAATAAACAATAACATGGTGTCAGACTCTCCCCACATTTCCCAGGCATTCTCCAAGCAGCCCGGAGCCCCAGCGCAGCCCTGAGTGCTGGTTGGGGATATTTCGCACATCTCTTCTCAAACAAGTTCTCCCATTTTTTTCAAATTACATTGACAATTTTCAATATGACAAAACAGATCACGTGTTCCCACCTAACCAGCTGCAGGGAGACATTTTAGATGTATGCAACAGATTTACAGTGGGAATCCAGAACACAAAAGCCTGATAAAACCAGGGAATAAAACAAAGGCAACAACAAAGTGTTGCTGCTACAGATTACAGAGCAACTCATCAAAAGCAAAGAACTCGAGTCACTCACTGCAATGCAATTACTATGAAGGAGAGACTGTGCTTCTTGAAGTACGACGTTTTCAAAAGAAAAAGCCTTGCTGAATACTCCCAGCTCTGGCTACGCTACTTGTCCTTCCTCCAGTAGTAATGAATACTTGAATACTGAAAATAAGATCCTCACATCTCCACATAATAAAATATCATTCCCCTTCAGAGTCATGCAAGATTTAAATTTGATACTTTTTCCCCAAAAAAAAATTTAGTGTTCCATATCTGAGGAGAATCTACTGCAAAGTGTTAAGCAGAGGCAAACAACATGTATTTACACAGTAAGTACTCATACACACCATTTCACAGTCCACAAGAAAGGATCCTCAGTACAACTAGAAGCAGCTTTAGGAAAAAATATTGTACAAGCTGGCTACATATTTTTAAACACATTCCACAGAGGCCTTTGCTGTCTTGCTGCATTGATGTAGTAAACCTCAGCTGATAAGAACGCAGTTGCAGGACATCTATTACTCAAATGCAAATGCTAATGTGGAACAACACCTAACAGCTCCAGAGGGCTCTCCCAGGCCCCTTGATGCAGAGGCAGAAAAGTGCAACTTCTACAGAAAATTTCTTTTGGAACTGCAGCAGAGTTCGAGTTTCTAAATCCTGTCGGGTGCAGTGAAACTTCCAGACGGAAAGAGCACTTCAGAAATTCCTACAATCTTGCATTTTGATAAGCCACATCAAATAAATAAAATCAGACTAATGTGTGGGGGAGGCAGGAAAGGAGGCTGCGTTGCCACTGAAGTGACCAAGCTTTGCGCAGTCACCAGCAGTCACTCCTGCTCACACCTCCATTGCCAGGCCCTCTTTCCCCTGTGTCAAATCTGCTCGCTCTTCTCCATGGTAAAGCCGCAGTTGTTTTGCAGCTAAAGCTCCCAGTCTTGCCATCCTTCAACATGAAGCCCACAAATCCTAAAACACCTACACAGCAGAGCCTCCTGCTCCCTGATGAGTCATTAAGCAGGCTGTCCTGCTTGGTGATGTCATCCAGCAAGATCCATTTTTTTTAAACAAATCCTAAAACGCCTCGAGCATCAATTATTTAAAATATTATCTTCATTTTAATCCCAACCCCAGTGGCAAAATTATCATTACAAAGCGTTTCCAAATGATGCAAGACGGCCCAATAGCCTCTAACAGTTGCTACGTCAATGAGGAGTAAACAGTCAGCTACTCATGTCACACATGAGCTAAGCACAGAGCATCCAAGCCAGCAGCAGCGGGCAGATTTCTCTCTTACAAACAGGCAGACAGCAGCTAGGATGTGTCATCAAAAATATAATCAAAGATCAACTGCATCATCCAATCTCATCCTGTACATTTTGCATGAGTACATATTACACAACCCCTGCTCACACCGTCTCTAACCTGTGCTGGGTGATGCGTGGCTATGGCGCAGCAGTAACC